ACGCCCCCCCCCCCCCCCTGCCACTCTGGCCGGGCTCGTCTCGTCCCGAGTGGCACACAGCTCTGCCACCACTTCTGCTGGCTGGTGCAGACCCGGCTGGGTTCCTCCCATGCCCAGCAGCACATGAGACGCGCCCCCATTGGGGCCTCGTGCGCGGGCAGCCAGGCCCATAGAGCTGCAGCGCCCGGGGGGAGACTGGCCAGGGGAGCAGGCGTTGCCTTGCTGTGGGGCAGGGCAGGGCAGAGCAGTGGGGCTGGCTTGAAGCGGGCAGGCGAGGAGGCAGGCATGAGCCGGCAGTGCCAGCAGCTGATGCTTGGCCTCCTGCGTGGGGCTGCTCCCCCGGACCCTGTGGGGGTAAGCAGCTCCCCTCCCCTCGCTGCCAGCTGGGGCCCGAGGGTTGGCCCTGACCAACTCACCGTGACCTCCCCGCTGCTTCTGCCGTCACCACCGCGGCTCCACACTCTGCAGTGGCAGCTCCGCACTCCGTGCCACTGCCGCTGCCCTACGCTCCACAACAGCTCTGCGCTGTTGCCACCGCTGCCGCAGGTCAGATAAAATGGCTTGGCAGGCCACATGGCAGCCAGCGGGCCATATGTTGAACAAGCCTGCTTTAGATATTGCCTGTTTATATGTTATACCTCTAAAGCATCCATTGCTGCCACTGTCAGAGACAGGATATTGGGCTAGATGGACCATTGGTCTGAGCAAGTATTGGCACTTCTTATGTTGTTAATCCATCAAGCAGTCATTAGATCTGTATGCATGTAGGTATATGTGTGTACTTATGTAATATGTAGAAAGCAGGGCAGAGTTGCACCTTATAAACTGACTGAAGCATAAACTTTCATAAGCAACAGCTCACTTTGTCAATGGGTGCAGACAGACATAATACTTGAGCCATTCTGAGAATGTCACTGATTGGGAGCCGGTTCACCAATGTGCCTGGATAGAAGTGTCCACATATACAATGCTAAGGACTCTAAGTAGAACCCTCATTTTTAGGAACTGCATTGCTGCTCATATTCCACTACAGAGAGGTAGAGTACCCAGACCAACATACCTTCCAGGAATCAGTGCCCAGGATTTTCCTAGGATTCTCCTTAGAGTGAGAGGAAGACCTGGATTGAGGCAGGATTTGGCAGGTGTTCGGAGTGGAGGGGTTGCCAGGTGTTTGGAGGCTCTCTGGACTCTGTTCAGGGTTCCCAGAGGGCTGGGTGGTCTCTCTCCCCCCCCACCCCACTCTGTGCTCCAGAACCCTCTGGCTTTTCCAACCCTTGTGTGCAGGGTGCATCTTTCAGGGTAGGGCTGGCTGCTGGAATGAAGCACAGTGGGAGGAACAATTAACAGTTATTGAGCAAATTCACTTCATCTTTGAGCATAGGATTGGTCCTCATTATGTGCCCATTAAGTGCCATGTGCAGTGGCCCTGTTTCCCCACCACCACAACTGGAATATAATTATTCTAAACTCAAGATAATACTAATACCAATCATCATCTGAGAAACTTGTGTATGTGCAACAAAGTGCTATGTGTAACAAAGCTCTGAGATGCACATCTTATGGATCTGGAGCACAGATTCCTACACTTACAGTACAATCTTAAAACTGTAGCCACCAGATCAACAGAGCTAGACTCGGACTGTGTTCTGACCTGCTACAATACTGATTTTGTGACATAGGTTCCCTATGGTTGGTGACAACCGGATCCCAGGTTGTTGTCACCTACAGCCCCCAACTTTAACACCTTGGACATACAATTAATGACCTCTAGCCCCTTCTGGAAAAATGATGACCATCTCAAGGTAGAGATAATTAGCTGTGTTAGTCTGAAGACAGTCAGCAGGCAGGGTAGAGATGCATCCTTATAGACTAAATAAATATATATAGAAAGAGAGCCCAAGTTCACTTTATCAAATGCTATGAAAGAATGTACAGAAAGCAGAGTATAAGAACGAGAGAGAGATTAAAATAAAAAAGGTGAGGGAGGGGGGACAGCTAACTACTTCTCTGCTCATAGATGGCACCACACTAAGATAATGAAATGGACTGAAATCAATCTACACAAAAAACTTGATCAGGTATGCTCAGACCTATTTATTTTCTCTCTCCCCAATCCACTGTCTTGTGACATCTCAAGGTAGCCATAGAGGAAAAACTTGTCCTCAGTTACGGACAGCCTCCCCCCCACCTTAGACACAACAGACTACCTGTCTCTTGTCCTTACCAAGGTTTGCAATGACCCAAATGCCAGCTATACCCCCATCATTACAGACCACATCAGCACTGGACCAAACAACATGGATTATAACACCTGAGCTTCATCTGCTTCTCT